GGAACTAAATGATTGTGTCAGAGGAGTGTGGAAGAGGCTGACTCTGGGATGCACTAGCCACATCCTTGCTTATTGCCTCCTGCCCTCTCATTCTGTCATTTATTTCCAGGCAGCCAGGATATGGGCTCCAAGTGTGGTTTCTGTTGCTTAGGTATCTCTTCTTACTAAGTTCTGTGTGGCTACAAAAGTGATTGTTTTCTCTCTACCTGAGGAATGATCTCCAAACATCTGCTGTCCTCTTTGGAGTCTCCGGATTATTATTTTTTAATTTGCTATAAAGGTGTGTGCATTTTCTGGAGATAGAGAAAATGAGAAAGCACTCCACCCCCAGGGGGAGGCCATGTTGCAGTACCTTCTTGATTTTTCTCTCAGGATTTTGGGCATGCATGCATACATACCCAGTATTTTATCTGGTAGAGAGATTTTTTATAGAGGGCATGTGCGCTCACCAGAGAGATAGAGAGATGGAAAACAAGAAATCATCCCCAGGGGGGACGGCCTTTTCTCCTCCATTCTTCTGTTATTTTGGGCACACATGCACAAATACCCAATGTGAGTTTCAAGCGTTGGATCTGGGACCTGAACCATGGTTGGCCATGTGAGAGCCAGTGATGTAACCATTGTGCCATCTGCTGCCCCCTCCACCCCTCCCATGTATTTTTCAAGCCACTGAGTCCAGGACTTGAACGTGCAGTCAGCCATATGGGATCCACCTGCCTTAACCATATGCCACTTGGCTGACCTCAGAGTACTGGATTTTAGAATGTGACCTTTGTGTCCTGCAGGCAGGAGCTAGTAGGTCAGGGATCATTGGGCTCACCCCATGCGACTCAGTTCTGTTTCAGTGCTGGGAACACACGTGATCATGATTTTTTCCCTTATAGACCTTCAGTCTGGCAGGATGTGTGGCAGTAGAAGTATGATTAACTTGGGGGGAGAGGGGAGTGGGAATGATAAACTGAATAAATGATTGTCAAGAAAAGCTGGATATTAAAAAGCCGTGTATGCCATTAGACATTTACTTGGTCTGACCACTTTCTCCTTTCAGTCAGGTGCCAGGAGTCTAAGAGAATACACTCTCATGGAACTGCTTGTGGTAAGTGTACAAAGGAGAGTCAAGGTGTTCAGGAGCCCCTGACCCACTGTGAGACCCAGCCTTTCTGCCTGGGAATACGGGGGTGAGGTGGTCAAAGACCTGTCATTGGGAGGTGAGACAGTCACAGCATCCTCACCTTATAAGCATGAGCAGGGGCCCCAGGCCATTTAGGAAGAAGTCAGTAAGGGAGGCTGAACTTTGGTGGTATGTGGAAACTCGGTGGGGGGGAAGAAATGGAGATTTCTCTGTTGGAGGAGTTGGGCTGATGAGTAGTATGTTGAATTACAGATGCACATGGAAGAGCCTTGTTTTGACTTCCTTCGAACCAAGCAGACCCTTGGGTAAGTCTGCTGGCAAAGGCACTGAACTCAAATAAGGTCTGAGACTGACTGTAGGCTGAGGTTTATCAGGTATTCTGACTGAGTGGTTTCTCAGAGCATGTTGGTCCTTCCATGATTTCAGAGTAATACTGTCAGAACTTCTGGAATTTGCATCACAGACCATGAACAGATTTTCAGTTTAGTCAAGATTCAAAATAAGCAAAAAAAAAAAAAAAAAAAAAATCAAAATAAGCAAGGCAAAAAAAAAAAAACCCAACTAGCTTGTGGTTCTCAGTTCAGAAGGGTGCACACTTTAATTTCAGCGTTAAGTAGATGCTTAATACCATGAGCTCCTGGCCCAGTACAGATAGCCAGAAACCCCTTCTACTTCTATCAAGTGCTTCTGGGGGTGGGGCCCAGGCACCCATCTGAACTCATGTAACTTTTCATTCTGGCTGTAGGTACCATGTCTACCCTACCTGTAGGAACACATCTGGGATTCTAGGATTCTCTGTCACCGTGGGGACTCAGGCAACCAAATACAAGTGAGTAAGCGAATGCATAGATGCGTTTACCCTTTGTTTTAGGCATGGAGAGTGGGAGCTTCAAGTGCTTAAAGCCTCAGGCAACTTTGAAGCAAGCAGGGTTTACTGTTTAGTCGCTGGAGGAGAGGAAGGGGGGCTGATGGCCCGATCCAGGTATGATCAGTGGTTTCAATGGTCCCACAGGACTGGACTCAAGCTTGTTTTGTAGACAGTGTACCAGGCTGCCATTATTTGTCTTCAGACAGAACTGAGGACAAGAAGGGCAAAGGTGCCCGACCCGGCACTTAAGCTGGTGCCTTGATGGTGCTCAACTTTGAAACAGTCAAGCATGACTATGACTGTGTGAGGATACCAGGAAACTGGACTAAGGTGGGGGGAGGGCAAGTTTTTCCCCATTTTCTTCCTGCCCTCAGGTTATATATGGAGTATGAATGTCTTGGAAGACACTTTAGCCTTTTTCCTGAGTCCAGGTCCTTGATGTCTTACTTGAAGATGTTTTGTTTCAGCTCTGAAGTTGTAGATAAGAAGATAGAAGAGTTTCTTTCCAGCTTTGAGGAAAAGATTGAGAACCTCACTGAAGATGCTTTCAACACCCAGGTGACTACCCTAGCCTGATCTTTTGGCTGGCAGTCTTCACAAGCCCTCAAGACACCAAGCATCAGTCTCAGCTGTGTTCCTGTTATGAACTGGGCTGTATTTTTAACTATGTAGCCCATTGTAATCTGACCATAACATACCCCTTGCCCCACTTCATCCCTCCCTGTCATGCTGGTAGGTCCATCATAAGCCAGGCTGAGCAGGGCCACGTGTGTTCTGGGGAGACTGGTCTGATGCTGTGCCTGAGTGCCTCTGTTTGGTGGGACAGGTCACTGCTTTGCCTGAGTGCCTCTGTTTGGTGGGACAGGTCACTGCTGTGCCTGAGTGCCTGTTTGGTGGGACAGGTCACTGTTGTGCCTGAGTGCCTCTGTTTGGTGGGACAGGTCACTGCTGTGCCTGAGTACCTCTGTTTGGTGGGACAGGTCACTGCTCTGATTAAGCTGAAGGAGTGCGAGGATACCCACCTTGGGGAGGAGGTGGACAGGAACTGGAACGAAGTGGTGACACAACAGTATCTCTTTGACCGCCTTGCCCATGAGGTAATACTGATTTTCAGAGGAAGACTACCTTAATGGATTGATGACGGTTCCAGATTCTGGAAGTCACACATCCAAACAACTGATATTGTGTGGAATATAAAACGGGGGCATTCCTCCTGGCTTGTTTACTTGCTGAATTTTTTGACTCCACTGATCACATTTGAAGTTTTTCAGCTTGCTGCCTTATTAGCAACTTGGCCACCTGAACAGGGTGTTAAACCTCTTTCATCTTCCCAAGTTCAATCAGAGCAGCTCCACTTTTGCCATATATTGAGATTTACCACAGGTTTTTGTAGAGTGGAAAAAAAGGGTCCTATTTGAAGAAAATTATAAACTCCTGGTCTTTGTGAACATGGAGTGCTTCTTCCAGATTCCAGGTGAAAGTCTTTTGACAGTTTCTAGTCCAAAACACTAAAACCTATGGAAAAGAGCTCTGAGTCTTGCAATTCAGTGGTGCTGCTAATATAGAACCCATGTGGTGAATCACCAGAAGACAGCATTGCATCTTGCAATCTGCCAATGTAGATTATTCCTATGAAACATGAAGGTGTGCCAAAGAGGTCTTTGTTCTTTGCAAGGTTAAGGGCAAGCCAAGATTGGGAAGAATAAAATGAACTGCTCAGGTGTTAAGTAGGACTATGCCTGGGGGTTATGTTTAAGAAGAGCTCTAAGCATCTTTCTCTATCTTCCCTTCCCTGTAAGATCGAAGCACTGAAGTCATTTTCAAAATCAGACCTGGTCAACTGGTTTAAGGCTCACAGAGGACTAGGAAGTAAAATGCTCAGCGTTCACGTGAGTATGGATCTAGCTCCATCCCTCCCAAGGTTGTCATTTACTGAGTTTGGGTTGCTATTGGAGAGTACAGGTTTTGCCCAAATCCAGACTGAATTTTTTTTACCTCAAGTCTTTGGCTTCTTTCAGGTGGTGGGATATGGAAAGTATGAGCTGGAAGATGATGGTGCCCCTTCTGGTGAGGACTCAAACTTATCTTGTGAAGTGATGCAGCTAACCCACCTGCCAACCTCTCCTCTACTGACAGATTCAACCATCCCCATTACTGATATCAGGGCTTTCACATCAACACTCAGCCTTCTCCCCTACCATAAAATAGTCAAATAAACTGCAGTCTCACTGGCCTGAAGCAATGTGTATTTTAAAATGTGTTTGTATTTTGGAGTCATACTACTACTGCCTTAGGGCTTCCATTGACTTTCTGCACTGGCAACACAATTTTTCTTTTTATTCCTCCTTACCGAGCCTTACCCAGATTTCCACTGAATTTTTGCACTGGCATCATGGAATTTGATTTACTTTTAGCTCTCCTCTACTAAGAATTAACAACCCAGGTTGCTGTAGCAGCTGGTGGCAGGTCGCAGCCGCAGTTTGGGAAGCCCTGGCCTGTGACCTCTCAGCTGGATAACCCAGTTCTTGAGAGGACCTACTATGTTACTGGTGTGCTATTATTACCTAAATGCTAGGTACCAGTACCTGGTTTTGCTTTTTTTAAATGTATTTTTAAATAAAGATAGTTCTGTATTTCCCTTCAGAATGAGCCATTTGCTGCTGTGGCATTTTTTTTTATTATTTCTGTGTGGGGTGGCGGTATCTAAAAATATACACTCTTCCCAAACCCTCTAAGGCAATAAAATATTTTTGGATACAATGTTCGGTGAAGGTTTTCGGAAATAGCATAGTGGGGACTAAAAAATGGAACAAGAAGGTGGTAAAGGATGGTTGAGGAAAATGGTGGATCCTTATTACGAGTCCTTGTGAGAAACTACTTCCTGTAGTAAAGGTTGCCAAATAATAACTGACTTCCAAGTTTAAGCAAAAAGACAATAAATGAAACATTTTTTAAAAAAAGTTGGAAAAATTACTTTATGATGCCTTAAGAAGCACTAAGTATAATTAAACTGTATTTCAGAGTTAGATACAATTTAATAGTTTGATTCCAAAATAAAAGTTATTGTGAAACCATGAAATTTCCTAACACTTGATTTTAATACACTGTGCTAATTTTCTAAAACAACTCTGAGGAACCAATATTTACAGTAGATGAAGTATATATGAAAAAATCTGGCATTGGGTATATTGTGTATGTGTGCATGTATATATATACACATATATACATATATACACATACACACAAATACATATTTATAGAACTCAAGATTATATGAACTAGGAAACAGGCTGTATATCTGAACTGCAGTACTAGAGTGCAGAATTTGAGACGGATTATAAATGTTTTTCAAAGCATGGGGTTTGGGAAAGGAGCAGACATCTTGTTTTCAAAACCTGAAGGTTTTCTCAGGACTGAAGTCAAAATTGTAACTGCCACAGAGGGAAAAAGGGAAGCTTCTCCTGCTGTAATTGTTCATCTGCGTCGGAAGTCCAGTATCCCTGAGATAGGAACCACTGCAGTAAGAAGGGAGTGAAAAGCTTCTCCCCAAGGAAGATTGTTGCTTAATTATGTCCACAACCTAATGCTTGGCAGCACCAAGACGTTTCAGCAATGGCTCATCATAAACCCAGCATTCTCCATCTTCATGAAATAGCTGTAAGAGGAAGGGGAAATATTTAGTTACATACTGCTTTTTATTTCTATAATATACTTTTAATTTTTTCAAGTCTTCCCCTCCCATCAGAGTGAAATGAGTGAGGTAGGAAACAGACATCATCTTGTTCACAAGTGGTGTCTGGCACTTCATTGGAATGAATGAATTGAAGGAGTAAGTTATCCTTTAGCGTCCAGGGAAAGTAGCAGGTTAAGCAGTTTACCCTTGTCTCCCATTGAATTTCCTTCTCCTTCCTTTCTCGGGCTTCTGCTCTTTGTCTTTCTTCAAGTCTGTGCTTTGCTTCAGTTGCTGCATCAATGTCTCTGATTTTTAAATTGAAAGTGACATCCTTCCAAAGGCTAAAAGAAAAGAGATTGAGAGGAGCTGGCAGTCTCCAGAATGAAAGCCTGGAGCCCTCTCTGAATAGAACGTAGTAACAGAAGTCAACTGGCTTTATGTGCTGTAGCTCAGACTAGCTCCTTAAGCTGGCACCAGGGCACTGGAGTAGGGAACAGAGAAGATGTAACTACTAGTTTTCAAAAAAGCAAGTAAGGGTGAGGCAACTCATACAAGGACGACAGAGGAACAGTGGGAACTGAGATGTGGAATCTACTTCTGGCTGTACTTCTAACTTGTTATGTAACTTCTAAGGAGTCAGTTTATCTCTCTAGGGCTTCAGTATCTTTTACCATAAACTGAAAGTTAGATCAGAGAAACTGAGAACTTCTATTAAACATAACAAAACTTTAAAATGTGAACTTGGAGAAAACAGCTTGAATAGAAAGAATAAAGGTCTGGGTTAAGAGGTAAATTACAGGGGCTTAATGGGATAAGACAGAAGTTCCTCTTACAGCCATCATCCCCAGTACAGGAGCAGAGGCAGAGAGGCCAGCTAACCACACTCTCACATGCTGCTGTACCAAGGCCAGCCTAGGCTTTTCCTCAGGCGCGGGAGCACCACAGCAGCAGTGCTAGTTATGCTGTCTCCTTACCTGCGGGACTCATACTCATTCTGATCTTCCAACTTCCTTACTTTCTTTTTGATTATAGGCAGCAGACATCATCTTGTTCACAAGTGGTGTCTGGCACTTCATTGGAATGAATGAATTGAAGGAGTAAGTTATCCTTTAGCGTCCAGGGAAAGTAGCAGGTTAAGCAGTTTACCCTTGTCTCCCATTGAATTTCCTTCTCCTTCCTTTCTCGGGCTTCTGCTCTTTGTCTTTCTTCAAGTCTGTGCTTTGCTTCAGTTGCTGCATCAATGTCTCTGATTTTTAAATTGAAAGTGACATCCTTCCAAAGGCTAAAAGAAAAGAGATTGAGAGGAGCTGGCAGTCTCCAGAATGAAAGCCTGGAGCCCTCTCTGAATAGAACGTAGTAACAGAAGTCAACTGGCTTTATGTGCTGTAGCTCAGACTAGCTCCTTAAGCTGGCACCAGGGCACTGGAGTAGGGAACAGAGAAGATGTAACTACTAGTTTTCAAAAAAGCAAGTAAGGGTGAGGCAACTCATACAAGGACGACAGAGGAACAGTGGGAACTGAGATGTGGAATCTACTTCTGGCTGTACTTCTAACTTGTTATGTAACTTCTAAGGAGTCAGTTTATCTCTCTAGGGCTTCAGTATCTTTTACCATAAACTGAAAGTTAGATCAGAGAAACTGAGAACTTCTATTAAACATAACAAAACTTTAAAATGTGAACTTGGAGAAAACAGCTTGAATAGAAAGAATAAAGGTCTGGGTTAAGAGGTAAATTACAGGGGCTTAATGGGATAAGACAGAAGTTCCTCTTACAGCCATCATCCCCAGTACAGGAGCAGAGGCAGAGAGGCCAGCTAACCACACTCTCACATGCTGCTGTACCAAGGCCAGCCTAGGCTTTTCCTCAGGCGCGGGAGCACCACAGCAGCAGTGCTAGTTATGCTGTCTCCTTACCTGCGGGACTCATACTCATTCTGATCTTCCAACTTCCTTACTTTCTTTTTGATTATAGGCAGCTTCTTAGTATCTACGAAGATTGTATTTTCCTACAAAACAAAAGAGGTACATGGATGTTTTATTGTTTAAACTGTTCTAGAAGGAAAAGCCAACTCTTTCCAGAAGACTTTTATGAACACATCTAAGGATCAAATTCCATATAAGATACTGATGTACACGAGTGTCATACAGTCTTAAGCCTAAGCTCTAGTTCTGTGTTTTAAATCTAGCACTCAGTTTTCCACATGGCCACATGCTACATGCTAGATCTATCATCTCTTGGAGAGCTAGACCCATAATCAGCTACGTCTAATGCTAACTAAGCACACTGTTTGAAGGGCTTATTACATTTTAAATTCTCAAGTCCAAAATCTAGTTCAGTGGTTCCTCTTGTTAGTCTCATACCACCTTTTTTAGCTTAAAGAAAGCACTTAGTGGTACTACAGCAAATAAGTTCCTTGAAGGCAAGGACTATCTTCTGTATCCCTGGTGCCAGTCAGTAGATAAATATACAAAATCTTTAACTGTATGTGTATATAAGCACACATAGATTATTAGTTCAATACTTTTTTTTTTTATTTTTAAAGAGGTTTTTACCATAAAGTGCATGCTCTCACTAGAGACAGAGGGAAAACAAGAAATCACCACTCCCCTGGGGGAATGGCCACACTGCAATCTCTTCTGCTCCATTCTCTTTTTGGGCAAGCATGCACATGTGTCTGGCATGCATTTTTTAAAGTCACGGGTCTGAGACTCAAACCGTGGTTGGCCATGTGGTAGTCCAGTGCCTTAGCCACTATGCCACCTGCTGGCCCTTTAGTAATTCATTTTATAAGCATACCACACATTCTCATGATATAGCTAAATTTACTAAGAACTTGGTATACATCAGACATTGTTTTATATGTTATTTTCAAGTGTTTTGAGAGCAGAAAGAAAAGTAAAGCCATTTTATTACTGTACTGGGGAAGAGGTAGGGAGAGGAGGAAAAGGCTTGCCCTGCAGAGATGACATCAGAGCTGGCCTTTGTGGTTAAACGTTTCAAATGAAAGAAACCAGAATAAGGGACAGGCTACTTATCAAGGTAGTGTGAAACAAGTGGCAAATAAACGGTTCTCACCCCTGTTGCATATTTTGCATACATTACACCATTCCATTCCCCTTCTATTGAGCAGAAAGACTTCTTGTCATTTGGAGAACTAAACAGGAAAGGAAACATTTGGTAAGTCTTAAGTTGAAAATTATTCTACCAAAGAATCTGGTCAGTGTGACCTATAAATACAAAGTAGAACACAGATGAACAACTGTACAGTCTTTTGTGAAAACAGCTTAAAGGACTTCCCAAGGCTGACTGTTAGGATGAAGAGCCTGAGCAAGATGCTGATGTACTCCACTAGCAGCAGCAGCTGGAGGATGGGAGAACCCTGTGATGGCTGCGGGGGCCACAGCGGACCCAGCACATTCCCTGCCCTCAAGCTGTTCACAGCCTACTGGAGAGAGAGGTCTTGGCACTGAGATTCTAGGGGGAAAGTGCCAAGGTGAGCTGCTGTGGTAAAGGGCAAACGTGCTGGTGTGAGGGTTGGGGAAGGCCTCAATTTAGGGCCTACCACCAAAGATCAGGCTTTCATCCTCAGGTTAGAATGGACCACTGAGTCAAATGGTTTGATGTTTGTTTTTTGTTCTTTTGATCCCTTCCTTCAAAAGCCTGACAAGCTTCTACTTAGACACCACATGCTATGTTTGGCAGGTATGGAATTTGGGAAGGTGGGCATCATAGCAAAGGCTAGGTTAGGAAGAACAGGCATGAACAGAAGATTGAAAGAAATCAGAAAGAAAAATAAACAGAATGGGGGGATGGGGGGCAGCTATCACTGGCCAGAAACTGAAGTGTTCTCCAAAGTATGGGAGGATTGGAGGAAAGGGAACAATAGGAATGAAACGCAGGATCCAATTTAAAGTGGTCATGCAATGGGGTTCTCAAAGTGGTCTGAGGGCCTCTGGATTCCCAGTACCTTGTCAGGGAAGGAGTCTGTTAAGGTCAAAACTATTTTCATAATATTTAAATAGTAGTAATAGAAAACTGAGTAATTTTTTCACTCAGTTTTCTCATAACTATGCAGTGTTTTCCAGAAGCTACAAAGCAATGGATCAGAGTCAAGAAGCAGATGAGAGAATCCATTTCTAGTAATTACGTTAGATTTGTAAAATTTACAAATTATATACTGTTGTTCTTACAAATTTTTTAAAGCTTTAGAAAGGTTAGATTTTTTTTTTTTTTTTTTTTTTTGGAGAGAGTTTTCACTGTAGGGCGCGTGCGCTCGCCCGACAGACAGAGAGAGACAGAAAGCGAGAAATCACCCCCCAGGGGGGATGGTCACGCCGCAATCCCTTCTCCTCCATTCTCCTCTCGGGATCTTGGGCACGCACGCACACGCGCCCGGCGTGAGTTTTAAGCCACCGGGTCCGGGACATGAACCGCGGTCGACTACGTGGGAGTCCAGCGACATAGCCATTACGCTAACTGCTGGTTCCCAAGAAAGGTTAGTTTTTCATAAAAATGCTATTGTTATCATTTATAAATGATAACATGTCATGTTCCTAAGAAGGACATCTCATCAGTGCCCTCTGTTCTGAACCTCAGCTTTAGGTCTCTGAGCTCTGAAACGGAATTGAAGGATGAAACATGACACAGATGTGAAACAAGTTATAAAGAACTATTAAAATATTCAATTCCTAATGTAGAAGCTACAGTTCAATCCAAAAGAAAAAGGATTTCAGAGAAGCAGAAGAGCACCGTGGCAGAAAAACAAAAATACCTACAAGATCTCAGCAGTAATTCTGTGTTTCTTGCCTCCATAGAAAGGTTTAGTATGGAAGACAATATTTGCACTGTAGCCTGTTTTGGAACAATTAATACTGCATTCTCCTCCTAATTCCACCCAGGGCACTGTGAGGATAGACCTGCAAAAACAAAAGTATCCAGGTGAGGCTGATAGCTAAGGGATTAAGAGGAGGGCCATGGCGTAAGGAGCAGCAAGGTCTGCTGCTGCTGAGAGGAAACAGCACAGCTCTACTTACCTTCCATAACCATTGGGGAATGTGAGGATGTAATGTTCATCATAGTCCAGGCACGAGACACAGCCTGTGGAGAGAAGAGAGAGAACCTGCCGTGGGTACTGTCAACTTGCCAGAAAGCTTTGTTGTCTGGTTGATGGATACTCTAGAAACTCCATTTGATTTAGGGACAACCTACCTTATACCCAACCCCTGCTCTCACCCCCAGTATACATACTTACAATGCAATCACCAACATCCAGTCTGGCTTTCTGGGACCATTTTCTCTTACTAGAAAAGTGTTCAGTATGTAGTCAAATGGCAGGACCAGCAGTTAGTGTAATGGCTATATCACTGAACTCCCATGTATTCAACTGTGGTTCGAGTCCCAGACCCGGCGGCTTAAACTCACGCCGGGCACGTGTGCCTATGTGCCCAAGATCCCAAGAAGAGAATGGAGGAGAAGGGACTGTGACAATGGCCATCCCCCCGGGGGGGTGATTTCTCACTTTCTCTCTCTCTCTGTCTTTCTGGCGAGCGCACGCACCCTATAGCAAAAATCTCTCCAAAAACAAAAAACAAAAAAACCCATATTCGAATGGCATACAGTTCTATTAACACTGTAGTTCACTCAGTGCCCACAGACTTACCCTGCCCTATGTTGTGCACCCCAATTGACATCCCAAGGAATTTTGATTTGGTCCAGATATGAGCATTGAATTGTATCTTCTTGTTAAAACATTCAGCATAAAAGGCTGAAACTGAACAGAAATTATTTTCAATTAGTGTACTATATAGCTACAGCCACCTCTCCAAACTCACTTAACCTACATAAAAAACTGGGTATGTATTCTCTCTACTGTGTCAGGAACATACTGTGCAAAAACTCTCAGTTCAACACACTTTCCGAGAGATGCCGAGGTCTCTACAGCACCAATCATCATGTGCAAGACGGCTTTAGAAGTAATACAAGTTGGTTTCCCAAATCCCTTCTGTTTTTATACATAATCAGCAAAATAAGAGTCACTGGAACTTGTAATACAACAAACAGATAGGAGCAACCAATCAATGAAGTTTCTCCTTTAGGTAACAGAAAGATACAGCTAGCCATACGCCTGACAGTAAAGTGTCCTCAGCCTTAGAGCTTTTAATGACCCTCTTTTAAACAGGATAGTTTGAGAGTGGATGTTGCAGAGGAGCTCTGTAACTTACTGGGTGGATGATGGGAAACCTGCTCAGCCACGAATGTTACACTGTTTTTGGAAACCCAGGGAACTGGTCCTTCTGAAACTAGCTCCTGCAAGCAAATATAACATCATTTTCTTTTGATGTGGGAACACAGATGACATTGCAGAGAATCTGATAATGGGGGTCTCTGTTCTTTCCTTTACACATGCCAAGCCCCTATACATACTTCTATTATGGCACTAATTACACTACTGTAATTATTTATTTGTGTCAGTCTCCCTTACTAGACTAAAGCCTTCTTGAAGGCAAAGATCACATGCCTAACTCAGGTTCAGGCCTGGCACAAAGCTGGCACTTGCCCACAAGTAAGTAAAGACACATGCTGCCTCTGTCTTCAGTAAGCCCTCCCTGTAATGTGTCATTTGGAAAGGGAAAGATATGAAGAATCACATTTACTGATAGACTATTAGTGGGCAAGGGTTTTTTTTTTTTTTTTTTTTTTTTAATGCCCTAGAAGCCTTTTATAACATGTATTTGAGGCTTTCTGGCTGGTGGTTTCTTTAAACCTAAGACCCTGGGCAGGCTCAGTTCTGCACTACCTCTTCTCTAGCTATGCAGTACCTTCCTAGGTAATTTCATCCAATCCTAGACCTTTACAACACCATCTAAGCATACTAGTCTCTGCAATCCCCAGCTCCATGAACTCTCTCCTGAACTCCACTCTGTAAATTCTAACTCCCTACCTGACAACACCACTTATGAGTCTAACAGCCTTCATACTTTATGTTTTGAATTAGGATTTTGAGCTATTCTCTCCCTAAATCCATTCTTCTTTCAGCAAGTTCCTTACCAGCAACTGCTATAGTCCACACGCAAGGATTCACCTCTGATGTCCTCCTTTCCCTTACCTTCCCCAAACTATCTGTAAGATTTACTTCCGAAACACAGCTGAAGCAACCAAGTCTTTCTCCTTGAATGCCAAAACCTCTTTAATGGTTTCCTTGTTTCTATTTGTGTTCCCTTTCAATTTATTTTTCACAAAGTCATTGTAATGATCTTTTCTAAACAAAAATGAGGTCTTGACAAGTCATGAAGTTAGCATATGGCTCAAAGGGCCGCCCTATATGATCTGATTTCTAAATCTTTGTTCTCACCTCATGCCCCTCTTCCCCCCCTTCTCACTATATTCAAAATATGCCGATCTAACAACACTGTTCTTCTATGGATGGTAAGCATCTTTTAATCAATGCCTTCATCATTATTATCTGCTTCTAAATAAAATAAAATCTTGGATCAGTGTAAAACTTAAGATAATGAAAAGTGTCAATGAGGAACTCACTGTGTTTTCTTCAGTGTCATTAGGTAATGTCCAGTGACACTGAAAGATCTCGCCCAAAATGGAGTTGTATGGCTTTTTGGCAACTGATCCTTTCCTTCCTGCATGAAAGGCTGAGAGATACCATTTCACAACCTGAACCATCCGATCCCGAGGATCCTTCTGGTCGCTGATGCTGTAAAGGAGAGACACATTTTTAACATCCTGCTTTGGGGTGGGATACAAGCTAACCCAGCAACCCCCTCCCTAATCCCCAGCATGGTCTTCTTTGAGGCAGGTTGATGGGTCCGAGGACCAGGGGTTACCTCAAAGTTTATTATTATTGAGGTATAATATACCTAATTATTAATAAATGCACTGATCTTAGTATATGGTGTGAGGAATTTGACAAATGTCCATATCTGTGTAATTAACCACTACCCAATCAAGACACAGAACATTTCTGTTATTCCAGAAAGTCTTCCCACCCCTTTTCAAGCAATCACTACCTCACCCTGAGACAAACACTTCTTCTAGTTTCTAGTACCATAGATTTGCTTTCCCTGTTTCAGAACTTTCTAAGTACTTTTTTAAAATTGTTAAATTGCTGGCGATTTTATATATCTGTGATCAATTTCTAGTTTAACGCTTTTGTAGTCAGAAAAGATCTCTGTGATTCCAATTCTTTTAAATGTATGGAGACTTCCAGGATATGATTTATCCTGATAAACATCCCATTTGGAAAAACCACGTGTTATACAATTGTTAGGTAGTGTTTACAGAGGCCAACTGGGTCAAGTTGACTGATAATGTCTGAATTTTCTATAGCCTTACTGATTTTCCTGTGTGTGTGGTAGGGGGGTGGAGTGGAGGGATGCTAGCTCACTCAGTTCCTGAAGGAAGAATCTGTGGACTTCTGTATTTCTCCCTTAAGTTTAGTCAATTTTTGCGGCATGTATCCTGAAGATGTGTTATTAAGTACATACACACTTAAGAGCATTATTTATTAATAAATTGACCCTTTTATCATTACAAAAATGTCCCTAACTGGTTTCAAGTTTTTTTTTTTTTTTTTGAGTATGATTTGGTTTATTTCTCTTTGACTCTATAACAGTAAGTTTGTTTTTAAAGTCTCTTTTATCTTAATCCAATATGGCTACACTAACTTTGTTAGACATGGCTTCTATCCTTTATACACATATCTAATATTACAATCCTCATGTTTAAAATGTATGGATCATTCTAAATCTGGACACTGAACTGTAAACTTCTCAAGGACAGACAGATTTTTTCCTTTCTCTAGCTCAATAACAAAGTGCCTGGAAAACAGCAGTTGTTTAGAACGTTTTGCTGAACTCAGCTAAACTTCATCAGGATAATCACTTTAGCAGTGATTACTAATGTCAGGATCAAATAAGCTCATAGTCTTGGGCCTATAAATGCTGGCAACCTGTGGATATGATCTTAAGAGTTTCTTTAAGTGTTAATAATTGGCTGCCTTGGGACCATCAGTTAGCATAATGGCTATGTCGCTGGACTCCCATGTAGTTGACCATGGTTTGAGTCCCGGATCCGATGGCTTAACTAACACCGGGCATGTGTGCATGTGTGCCCAAGATCCCTAGAGGAGAATGAAGGAGAAGGGATTGCGGCATAGTCATCCCCCATGGGGGGTGGGGTGATTTCTTGCTTTCTGTCTCTCTCTGTCTTTCTGCACACACGCCCTATAGCAAAAACCTCTTGAAGAAAAATGAAAAATTGGTTTCCTTGGGCCCAGCAGGTAGCATGGTGGTTAAGGCTCTGGAATGCCACATATTTGACTGTGGTTCGAGTTCCAGACTTGAAGGCTTGCCTTTTCATTTTCTCTCTCTCTGGTGAGTGTATGTGTCCTACAGCAAATTTTTAAAAGTAATAAGTAAAATTAAAATAATTCTTAAAAAAAAATGGTTGTCTAACATCACCACCATATAACCTGAGCAAACAGACAGGCACCAATATAAATAATATCCAACATCATTTTTACCTATAAATATCTGAAAAATAAGAAGGAATACATCCATCCTGCAAAGGCAGAAACCTACTGAGTAACATCTAGAAAAATTGTATACTGCTATGTACAAATACCTCACAAACAGGTCCGGATGTGCAAAAAAGTCTGCATACATTTCTAAAAGGGATCTTCTTTCAAGAATAAATGTTGGAAGAACTACCTGAAAAACACACACATTTGGCACTAGAGGATCACATTTTGCTACAAATAAAAAGTGCTGATCTGCACAAAACATTCCAGTCACAGTAACAGCCACCACGCACAGCCCAGGCATGCTTCTAAAAAGCTATGTCCCAAACTCTCCTGATTCAGAAATGCCCACTAACCAGCCCAGCAGATGAAAAACAGGCAATGGCTTTTGAATGTTCAAATGTTATTTCCTCTGTACACCCTGCCTTTCCTCTAGAGTGTTAACAAAATAAATAAAATAAAACACAATGAACTACTGGGTCGTCATTGGAAAAGCCATGATGCATTTTTGCATAGAAAAACAGAACAAATACATCATGACTTTTCCGACGACGACCCAATATTTAGTAGTAACCCTGGGATGCCTCCTGTCTGCTGGGGCACCACATACACATTATCTACTCAAACTGTACAACAGCCTTATGATGAATAAATTATCTCTATTGTACAGTAGAGAAATAGGAAGGTTAAAGAGGGTGACAAGTGTTCTCATTGCTCCATTATTAATGTGAAATTCAAGACTGGGTCTGACTTTGGGAGAGGTGAGTGCATCACTAGGTGTGTCTGGGAATTTATCTACTTATGAATCTGGATCTTTTAGTAAATGATGAGCTCCTAGAATGTAAGGATCAAATTTACAAGCAATTAAAGGAATGAACAAAAGGCAGATGAGACTGAAGACTGAGAATCAACAAACTCTTTCCACCGTAGCACTGAAACCACTAGTTTTATGCTCAGGGGCTAAGAATAAAGTAGAGAAAAGTAAGGGAGATACAAAATTAGAATATGGAAAGAAATGAGAAAAATGAAGACAAGCCATTATCAAAAAGAAGACTTTCATTAGGCAGTGGGATAGAAGAAGAGTTTCTGTAATGTGTTATCAAATTATTAATTACTCATGATGCAAGCAAAGGACCAGAGCAAGCAAAAATTCTTGTTAGTAATTACTGTATATTTGCTATATTAAAGATCCTGTGAGAAAAGCTATGAAAAAGGCAAAGGTAAGCATGAGAGAACAGTAGCATGTACAAATTTTAGGTGGAATGTGACAAATACACAAAAGTGGCTCAAAGTACTCTAGAAGTTCAGCTGAGAGAAAGACCGTGCTGTTTGGAGTAGAACAAAAGCAAAGCTGGAAAACAATTCACTGAGGTGGCAGAAAAGAAAAGCCTCAGAGAAGAGTAAGGCTGTAAGAGACAGGGATGGGCAGAGACAGAAGACGTGGAGACAGAGACAGGAAACGGTGCGAAAGGGATAAACCAGTCCTCCAGCATGGTTGGGTACATAATGAGTACCCTGATGGAACATAAACCTGGAAGGGGATGCTAAAGCTATGTAACATTTAGAATCTTTATTATCAGACAACAGTGTTTACATTTTAAATAAACATTTACCTTCCGAAGGATATATATGTTCATAATCTAAATGCTATTTTGGCAGGCAAGCTTATATACCAACTCGGTACAAATTCCTATCACTTTGGAGAACTCAGAGGTTAAAAGCCACCAAGAAAGAATGCTAAAGAACAAGACTAGGTTGTAACCATCTTTAATACAGATAGCTCTTGCAAATCAACAAAAAAAAAAGTTGACTACACTCTGATAGGAAAATAGATAATAGATCTGAATAGACAATTGAAAAATATATTCAAGAAACACAGGGAACCAGCAGTTAGCGTAGTGGCTATGTCGCTGGACTCCCACATAGTTGACCGCAGTTAGCGCCCTGGACCCGGTGGCTTAAAACTCACGCCGGGCGCGTGTGCGTGCATGCCCAAGATCCCGAGAGGAGAATGGAGGAGAAGGGATTGCGGCATGACCATCCCCCCTGGGGGGTGATTTCTCGCTTTCTGTCTCTATGTCTCTGTCTCTGTCTGTCTGGTGAGCGCATGTGCCTTATAGTGAAAACCTCTCCAAAAGAAGAAAAAAAAAAAAAAAAGAAACACATATTTTATTTCACTCGTAGTTAAAGGAAAAAGAAAAATTTCCCCTACTTAAAAAGTTTCTTGGGAACTCTTATTCAACAGATCTATGGTTTTAGAATTATACTGATATATGCCATTATGTCCCACTGCTGGAACAGTAACGCTGGACTTGGGTGTCTTCAGCCTGGGTTTAAGCACTTGTCACTTCTTAGTTGTGGGACGCCCTGAAAAATTAACTCAACTTTTCAAGTTCCTATAAAAGTGGATAACTGCATGCCCTGCTTATATTTTATGGCTGTTTTGAAGACTAAGTGAGATAAATGGGACATGACTTTTAGTATCTCCAAAAACTAAAAAGTACTTGGAAAACAAACTTTTTGGAAAGTATCTGAAGTGAAAAAAATATTTTTATAAATAGAAGGTAAAAGTTTAAGACATTATTAAAAATATTTGGAATGCATAAAAAGAATCAAGATTCTTTTTAGATTGGTAATCACAGCCATTTGTACCAATAAAGATTTCTAAAATGGCTAATTCTTAATATATTCAGAAAAAAGGTATTATAATATCAATCAGAATTATAACAAGCTTTCAGTGGCTATGGACCCAATGTATGTGTTATGTGGCAGAGAAAATAATGTGAGGCAAAAAATAAGAAACCTGATTGTGGCAAACACTTTTGGTTGCCCACCTACATCCCTGATTTGTACCTAACAACTCTGATTCAGTTTAGTTTCAGGCCACAGGTTGCCAGTGTCCTCTCTCCCAAGAGGTGAATACAAATTAAACTACTCAATTTCCCTTGCCAGTGATTGGTTTAGGCATGAACACATGCCTGACTCTGGCCAATGAGATTCAACAGGAAACATAATGGGCCACTTCGGGAAAAGAATGTCCTTCCTAACAACAACTAAAGGGCCAGCAGTTATGCAATCTAACGATAACTGATGCAATTCTAGGACAATCTCCTGCAAACAGTCTCCTACCTAGTGCAACACTCCTGAAAAGAGTGTTGGGCTCCACAAATTGTTACCCTTGTGTTTCTGTTCTCACTTAGATTAGGGATAAAAGATTTTAATACAGACACTCATTAGAAGGTGTTATAGATTAGTCTTTTTTCCTAATGGTCCTCTAAATCCAAAATCAAAACAAAATTCAACCAGCACCATAGCACTAGATGCAAGACTACAGCACTGGAGCTGATTCTGTCATAATAAAAAAGAAGATCCTAAATTTAATTACACTCCTAAAGCTGAGTAGAACAACTCAACCAATGCGTGAGCTACTACGTGAGTCTTCATGACAAAGGCAATAGTGGAAAGTTAAGAGTTTCCAATTACAGACTAGAATATTAGTTTAGCCACTTAATATGACTCAGTCAAGTTAGTTATCCTGTACATATTTTAGTTTCCTCATGTACAAAATAGAGGTAACAACGACACCTACTCTGTAGAGCTCTAGTGAGCAATAAGTGAAAGGATGAGGCTTTTAGCGCAGTGGCCGGTACATACAAAGGCTCCCATACATCAGTCTCCTAAAGTGAGCACTCAGTTTAGAGACAGAAGTTTACATTCAAATTCAAATCCAGTAATTACATAACTATGTCATATTTCATATTTATTGCCTCTCTTAATCCTTTTAACCCTGTGAAGCAGGTCAGTGAATGTCCACTTTGAAAAAAAAAAAAGAAAAATCTGAAGACCACAGAGGAGGTGACTTTTTAAGGCCATGGGGTCTGGTAACAACAGAGGTAGGATGCAAATGCAGGTCCTCTGACCTCAGCCTGAGAACTCTGATCATTTTGATTCTGTGCACACAGCACTGCTTTAGGCTTTCCCCAAACTATTAACCAAGCCCCAAACTATTCTGCATCTACCCCAAATAGAATCCAAATCTTAATCCATACAACCCATATATTCTATTCTCTATGAGATTATTACAACTTCATTTATTCACCCATTTATAGAAATGGTCATTCAGTGTACTTGCCTTGATATCATACATGTTAAATCATGACAAGTATAAACAGATGATGTCATTTTACCAAGCTCCCAGGCACTCATCCACAGCATCACTGACAAACTGCACATAAACACTAAGACTTAGAGCAAATGCCAAGTTTGGCTCCTACCTTTGTCAGGTCCATTCCGAGCCTAACCTGTGACAAGAGGTGCATGATCACACTCTTGTGCTCCTCCACTGAACCTGCCTCCCCGTCGTCATCTCTATCGTCGTGTGAATCAAAAAGATCTAAAGGAAAACAGATCTTCTTAGACTGGTGTTAAACTAGGCCAATCTCTGCTTCCACCAGTAATACAAATCTTTTTTTTGGCGGGGGCTGGAGGGAGCTAAATTCTCGTAGGTCACTTACCAGCATCACTTGTTCCATTGGATATGGAAGAATTAAGTGATTCTGTGGTATCTGGGCGCTTCAGACTGTTTCCCGAGCTGCTGTGTGTCAAGACTGAGGCAGAACCAGAAGAACTAAAAAAAAAAAAAAAAAAATCACTTTCTTAAAGCAATTTCAAACCACAGTAAGATGTTAACCTGCAAAGCTGTCTGAAACCAATATATGAAGATAGGTGACAGAAAAAAACTAGACTCCTACAGTTACACAAACATATAAATGCTTTCCAGCTCCCTCCCTGTCATTCTCACTCCAAGATGACAAAGTCTGATGGCAAGGTCTCTCGTCTCATGCTTTCTGATCAGTGTGCTTCAGCAAGGCTTGTGAAAGGTAAGGTGTACAGGTCATCAAAAACTAGTGAGATTTTGGGACCAGCAGTTAGTGTAATGGCTATGTTGCTGGACTCCCATGTAGTCGACCGCGGTTCGAGTCCTGGACCCAGTGGCTTAAACTCACGCCGGGCACATGTGTGTGCGTGCCCAAGATCCCGAGAGAAGACTGGAGGAGAAGGGATTGCGGCGTGGCCTTCCCCCATGGGGGGTGATTTCTCGCTTTCTGTCTTTCTGTCTCTGTCTGGTGAGCGCACGCACCCTATAGCAAAAACCTCTCAAAAAAAAAAAAAAAAAAAAAACCACCAGCAACAACAACAACAAAAATGCAAAAATAAAACAAACAACAACAAAAAAAACCACAAAAAAAACAAATAAAAAAACTAGTGAGATTTTGACCTCTGCATCAAAACTTGAGTTCATTTTCTGATTTTGTTACTTTGTAGTTAACAAATGAACGTAGATGTCTATGTAATATTCTAAGTATCAAATCTCAGAAAGATGCCTTGTCTATATTTTTGAGATCTTTTGGTAAAAGTCCACACTGGTATTAACACTTTTCCCAGTCATTAAAAACCTGTATTTGAAATTATAAAATAAAAAAGTCTACTATTTTTATAAGAAAACTTATCGAAACTGGCTTTATGAGCTGGTAACAGGTTTAAAGAAAGCTTTCTCTGTTAGATTGTTATACTGTAATCATAATTTATCCATGTAAGTATCTGTATATTTATAAAAGAAAAACCAGGAAGACATACAGTTTACTTTAAGAGTATAAAATTAAAGCCCCAATTTTTTTTTTTACAACACAAATCCATTTTTATTCATTTATGTTTCATTATTTTTAAATCCTTGAGGGGTACAGCGTCACACGGATTCTGTGTCCGATGGCCTTAGCAGGAAGATTGCTTCGGAATTTGGCTTGAACCATGCCACTGTTTCCATGGGCACCGGTAACCTTTCCCCAGATGACTCTGGTTTTATTTGATCTGCCGCCAGGAGTCACTGTGTTGTTTTTTTGCTTTGTACACATAAGCACACCTCTTGCCTAAATGAATTCTGTCTCATCTCATGCATAAACACCTTCAATTTTAAGAAGAGCTGTGTGCTCCCTTGGTTCCTGAGACCCCGCTTATAGCCAGCAAGAATGGCCTTGGACCACAGCCTTCCAGACATAGTTGCCTTGTAGAAGTTCTGTTCCCAGCAGGCCTCCACAGGCTCCAAGGTGGAGGAAAGAGGCAAGCCCAAATTTCTAATACTGCAGATATTTACAAAATATACACTTATAACACAATAGAGTCTTATTATAAATCTATAGGTTTAAACCTAAGTTTGCTGATGTTTACTTCTTTCGATCTTTTAAAAAATTACGAATCATTATTATTTTTTTTTTAAATTTGCTACAGGGCATGTGTGCTCACGAGAGAGAGGGGAAGAGAGAGAGAGAGTAAACCACCACATCTGGAACTTAAACCTTGGTTGGCCATATGGGAGTCCAGTGCCTGAACCACCATCCCACCTGCTGGCCTCATTAGATCTTTTTTAAAATTAATAAACTTGGGACCAGCAGTTGGCGTAGTGGCTATGTCACTGGATTCCCATGTAGTCGACTGCGGTTTGAATCCTGGACCCAGTGGCTTAAACTCGTGCCAGGTGCATGTTTGTGTGTGCCCAAGATCCCGAGAGGAGAATGGAGGAGAAGGGATTGCAGCGTGACCATCCCCCCTGGGGGGTGATTTCTTGCTTTCTGTCTCTCTCTGTCTTTCTGGTGAGTGCACGCGGCCTATAGCAAAAACCTCTCAAAAAAAAAAAAAAAAAAAAAGAATCAACTTTATATCATATAGCAGATTTAGGTTTAAAGCAAACTGAGCAGAAGTACAGAAATCCCATCCCATATTCTTCCATTCCTCACATGCACAGCCTCCCACATCAACACTCCGCACCAGTGGGATGGACACGAGTTACCGTTGAACACGATACCCCCACAGCACACAGATGATCAGAGGTTCAGTGACTGGCCTGAGGTCATACAGTTGGTCAGTAGTGATGCTGTTTGAAATGCATGCCTGGCTCTAAAAGTTCCCATTTTTTTCAACATGTATTACTTTCTAATTTAGAAATGTGTAAACCACGCTGTTTGCAGTCCATACAGGAGCTATCATTACCACATGTCTTTAGCAACAGAGCGCTGAAAAGACTAAAGAAAGTTCTCTCTCGGGACATAGAGAGGAAATGCAGAGGACATAAACACATGAACAGGCCAGAAGTTACAAGAAATATAGAAATGGAGCCACCAAACCTAATTTGAAGGGATTTAAAACCTCATTAAAAACAAAACAAGGGGCTGGCAGATGGCATGATGGCTGGGGGCTCTGGCTGACTGTGGTTACAGTCCCAGATCTGGGGCCACCTGGTGGCTTGCTTTCTCCCTTTCTCTCTCTCTCTCTCTCTCTTTCTCTCTCCCTATTTGGTCAAATTGGAAAATAAATAAATAAAGTCAAAAAGAATTCTAAAATAAATAAACATAAATAAATAAATAAATAAACATGTTATTAAAAACAGAACAAAAAACAAGTCAAAACACACTGCCAGTCACATAAAGCATCTACGATCTGTATCAGTGTGGGTTTCTAGAGTGGCATATAAGGAGTATGTGAAATCGAGTGAGAAAAAGAACCGAGAGTAGATTACTAGGACAAAAAACTTAACTGCTGTCCCCACAAATGGGAGCCTCATGGACCGGTCCGTGTTTTATGGGGTCCAGTGCTCCGAGAGCACAGAGAAGGAAACCGAAAAGCTTCTGAGCCTACAGATGAATTGGTAGACATGCCTTTAAACAAGCACAAATATTTTAAATTTTTCTTTAAAAAAAATCATATTTTTTATATTGCCAGAGGACACATGTGCATGCCAGCGAAAAAGAGTGAGCACGAGCAAGCAACCACCCCAACACTCAATGGGGAATGATCACGCCATAGTCCCTTCCTCATAGCTCCTTCCTATCAGAATTTTGGACACATGCACATATGCCCACTGTTTTCAAACCACTAGGTCTGGACACAGAGAAAGAAAGAGAGAGAGAACCTTCCACAATGAATAATCATGTCACAATCCCTTCTCCATTTTTCCCTCCTGCTGGAATTGTGGGCACACACACACACACCCCCCTAGTGTTTTTTTGTTTTGTTTTGTTTTTAGAAGAATTATTTTAATGAACATTATTTTATTTATTTATTCATTTATTTTAATTTGACCAGAGAGGAACAGAGTGAGAGAGAAAGAGAGAGAGAGAGATGCAAAATGAGAAAGCAAGCCACCAGGTTCAGGACTCAAACCACGGTTGGCCATGTTGGAGTCCAGCGCCCTTAACCACCATGCCACCTGCTGGCCCCACCCAGTGTGTTTTTCAAACCACCAGTTCTAGGACTGAAACTGCGCAGTTGGGCATTACCGTGAGAAAATGTTCAAAATTCTTAAAAGGAGATCTAGCTGCAGTAGCACACAGATACCACCCCGGAGGCTAGAAGTCACGCGGGTGGTCTAGTTTTATTCCAGGCCAACCTGAACACTCTGGGTGCAGCCGTGCACACCTGTAATTCTAGCTCATTGAGAGGCTGGGGCAGGGAAAATCACACAGTGAATCTGTCAAAAATATTTCTCATTCTACCCACACCTTTATCTGTTATACATCTGTTACGTATTTTTAAAAATTTCCTAAAGGATATAGGACTCTTTCATACCTTGGCCCTTGTCAACCCCATATGTGTGGAGCACTTACCACACCTTATGCTTCAGCCATACTAAACTACTTAAAGTTCCCCAAAGAAATCAAGCTCCTCTAGCCTCTGCCCTTTCTAACAGGGTCCCTTCTATCTGCACAAGAGCATTTCCATTTTCTCCGCCTCTCCTCATCCCCATTTCCTTTCTCTCTACTCATTCACAGACTAATTTAGGATTAACCCCTTCCTTCCTCTGGACGTCCTTCCCTGACTTCTCAGTACTTCTAAATGTCACATGGCTTTCTGTGCTTTTCCTCTCTGCATGTTATGATCTGCATGTTTATGTTGTCTCCATCTTCAATTTATATAGTATGTTGGACCTGTGTGACACCCAGCTGTCCTAAAGTCAATAAAACGTTTTACTTAAAAAAAAAAAAAAAAATCACCCAGTGTGACAGTTTCAGGAGGCTGGACCTTTGGGAGGTGATTAAGTCACAAGGTGGTACCCTCATGAATGAGATTAGTGCATTTATAAAGAGGCCCCCCCCCCCCTCCGAGAGCTAGCTTGACTCTTCCACCAGAGAGCTAGCTTGACACATCTAGAAGGTGCCATCTACGAACCAGACGCCTTACCTGCCAGTGCCTTGATCTTGGACTTCTCAGAATTTAAAACTGTGAAAAATAAATTTCTGTAAGCCACCCACCCAGTCTAAGGTACTTCGATAGAGCAACCTGACTGGACTACAACACTATGCCACGCACACCATGGGACTATCGATGTCTGTTTCCCCAAAAGACTAAGTTCTTTGAGGGCAGGGACTGGGCCTTTTTAACCTCTGCATCTTTGCTCTTCCAATACAGTGCCTGGCTTATCTCCACTCTAATATAAAAGCAAAGAGTAACCTTTTACTTACATAATACTTCCTATCTTACCACTCTCTTACTGTTGGTGCTATAGATATGTCTAGAATTCGACTAACAACACTGGCACTACTATAGCTGTTGCTATTTATTCTATTTGGATTAAACTGGGAATAAAATTCAAATTCTATAGGACTCACTCTGCTCCATTAGCCAATTAAAAATGAGTCGTTGGGCTGGCCCATGTTAAGCCTGTACAGATGGATCTGGAGTCCACATGGCTGATGACAGTCTGAAAACTGGCCCTGGCGGCCTGAAAGTATGCCAGACATGTATGCATGCATGCCTACAATCCTAGAGGGAGAAAGACATGATGGAAAATGGATTGTAATGTGACCATACCACACTGGAGGGATGCTTTCTCTCTCTCTGGTGAGTGGGCCCTCTGATAAATAAATAAGCAAGCAAGCAAATAAGTTAGTTTGTCATTTTAAATGCTCTGAAATAACGGACAGAAAGGCAGGTCTGTCATTAGCACTCAAAATCAAACGAACATTTTTAAAAATCAGGAGAGTCATTTAAATACATACTTTGTATATGCACTTACTCTATTAAGCGCTTTGGGGAGCATCACTTGTTCCATTGGATATGGAAGAATTAAGTGATTCTGTGGTATCTGGGCGCTTCAGACTGTTTCCCGAGCTGCTGTGTGTCAAGACTGAGGCAGAACCAGAAGAATCTATTAAGCACTTTGGGGATGAGCCACTTTGATGGAATTCATCTGCGTCATAGAATTCATCTTCGCTGCTAGAATAAGAGAACTCTGGGACTGTATTTAGAGACAAGTTGACATGGCTTGGAGAAGTTAGGCTGCTACTAGGTGGTGAATGGCCACTGCCTAGAAAGTTAAAAAAGTTTAATTAGGGAAAAACACTGGTGAAAAAGTGGATGAAATTAGAGAAGTGTGTCAAAGTAGACCTTTCTGAAATCAAGAAAGAGTTTGGTTAAGTTAGTAGAAGTTTCTACACTATTTATAATCAACATTTAAAATAGGTAAAGAAGGACCAGCAGGTGGCATGGTGGTCAAGATTCTGGACTTCCACATGGCTGGACACAGTTTTAGTCCTGGACCTGGTGGTTTGCTTTCTCACTTCTCTCTGTCTCTCTCTGGTTAGCACACATTCCTTGTAGCAGATTAAAATAATAATAATAAAAATTAAATTAAATTCTTCTTTAAAAATTAGATAAAGAAAAAGGCAAATCATGTTACAGAATGGGACACAGATTTCTAAATTAGTGAAGAAAATGCTATGCCAACTCTTCTCTATAATTAAAGATTAATATATGTTTAATACTAGGATGAGAACTCCTTAATTTTATGAGTTTTGGTGTTAGAAGTCCCATAATAGACGTCAGTACTAATAGGAAGCCAAAGCATTTATTTTATATCATAAATCCAGATAACTAAAAATGCGGCAGTGAACCAACAGGAATTCAGAATGGAATGAATATTAAGATTGTATGAATGTTAAAATATTGTTTGGGATATCACATTTGTATTAGTCAATACTTTTTGGCAGTCACATGGAAAAATGCAAAACTTTTCAACAAAGCCAAGAGCAAAAACCAACCAAATTTCTTACTACTTCTCCACCAAGTCTAAGTCTGATGCCTGGGGCTCAGGGGCAAGGATTAAAAACAGAGGGATACTATGGGAAGAATGTAGAAAAGAAAAAAAGACTACGTCTTTCTATTCCTAAATAGTCTGACAACAACAAAAAAGAAATCAATGGAGACCCAGAGAAAGAAGACCTACTAACTCCTGAGATAATCATCTGATGCACTGTCTGGCAATAAAGACTAAAAACTATCAAACAGGGCCCAGCTGTGGTAGCAGGGGCTAGACATGGTGCTTGGGTGGCTGAGGTCACATAGGAGGCCTGGATTTGATTATCAGCTCACCCTAAAAACCAGGTAGAGTGGTTTGTGCCTGTAATCCAAGCTACTCAAGAGACTGAGACAGGAGGATCAAGATACAGCAAAACCCTATCTAAAAAAATAATACCCTATCCCCCACATACACACACTCCCCCCACATACACACACTCGCCCAAAGTATCAAACAAATCAATGCAGTAATGAGGTCAACTTAATTTATTAAGCAACTAAAGGCTGTTGGGCAATTTATGCCAATCTACTGCAGACGCCTGGTGCATCTAAAGTTCATTAAATCACTGCTGGTAATCCAAATGCGAAGGCCACAGTTCTGGAAGAAGCTAAAGGTAGCAGCAATAAACACAAACCCAGGGCTATCTATTAACTTATTCCTGTATTTATGGTTTAATAATTAGGAAGAGAACAACTCAGTCTGTCATACTTAGCTGCCATGTTCACATAGATATTTTCAAAATAACACAAAAAATTTGTCCTCTAAAAGGTAATGCTTATCATGGACATTCCCAAGGTAGTTTTAGCAAACAACTTTAAACTTCTGAGAGTGAACACCGTTATTTCTTAGTTATTCCTTATTTATTTTTTGTATTAGTGAGAGAGGTGAAGGAGAGAAGGTGAAGAAGATAAAGATGTTAAAAAAGCTATAAATCACATACTAACTTTTAAGATAATTTAAAATTTAATTTAATTTATTATTATTTTTAAAAATTTGCTACAGGGCACATGTCCTCATGAGAGAGAGAGAGAGAGAAAGAGAGAGAGAGAGAGAAAGCAAGCAAGTCACTAGGCCCAAGACTCAAACCATGGTCAGCCATGTGGAAGTCCAGCACCTTAAAGCCACCTGCTGGCCCACTAATTTAATTTTTAGAATTTCTTGAAATCTACCTACTCTAAAATATTAATGTTTAAAATTTCTTCTGAGGGGCCAGTAGATGCCATAAATGGTTACATCATTGAACTCCCACGTAGTGGGCTACAGTTCAAGTACCAGATCCAGCAGCTTAAAACTCACACTGGGAGCAAGTGCATACATGCCCCAAATCCCAAGAGAACAGAAGAGAAGGGACTGCAGAGTGGCACTTCCCTGGGGTTGGGGTGGGGTGGGTGGTGGGTGGGGATGATTTCTCATTTTTTGTCTTCTCTCCCTCTAAAAAATGTTTTTTCCTGAAATAGTAATTAGTTCTAAAGCTTATCTTTGTATAGTACTTTCTACCTTACTCATTCATTCTCTTAATGCTGATGCTACAGAAATCTTTTATTTCTAAATACTACCTTCTGAAAATAATCTACACTAAAATTAATGTAAAGAAGAGCTGTTCACTTTTTCTAAGCTTGTAGCTAGTTATATATATTTTCAAGTAGGCAAATTTTGACTGTTTCAAAATTCTGACATAATCCCACCTTATAAAAACCAAACTAGGGCCAGACCTGTAATTCAGTGGTTAAGCACTGTGCATAGAAAGCTGGATCCCACATGGCTGACCATAGCCTGGAATTCCAGCCCCAGCAGTTTGAAAAAAATGCTTCATGCATGTGCCTATGTGCCTAAAATCCTGACAGGACAAAGAAATGGGAGAAAAAGAACTGTGGTGTGACTATACCCCACTGGGGTGAGGGTAACTGCTCTCTCTCGTCCCCTTTCTTTTTTTCTCTGGTAAGTGGAACCGCCCCTTCAGCAATTAAAAAAAAAAAAAAAAAAAAAAGACGGGACCAAAAAAAAAAAAAAGGAGGGACCAGCAGTTAGTGTAATGGCTGTGTCGCTGGACTCCCATGTAGTCGACCACGGTTCGAGTCCCGGACCCAGTGGCTTAAAACTCACGCCGGGCGCGTGTGCATGCGTGCCCAAGATCCCGAGAGGAGAATGGAGGAGAAGGGATTGTGGCGTGGCCATCCCCCCTGGGGGGTGATTTCTCGCTTTCTGTCTCTCTCTCACTGTCTTTCTGGTGAGTGCACATGCCCTATAGCAAAAACCTCTCAAAAAAAAAAAAAAAAAAAAAGGAATAATGAGTAGGGATGAAGAATATTAAACAGAAAGAATTAACAAATTAAAAAAAAGGGCAGAACTACAGGAACTATTTTTATCAATAAAACGAGTAAGATATGACATAGATTAGAAAATACAGAAGTCAGCTAAAACATTTCAATTTCATTATGTAAATGCCTTATTAGCATTCTCCCAAGAGCTGCAAGTAAGACAGCTATTTTCCACTTTTTTCAAAATCTAAAATGTATCTTGCTCATGCTATTGAATACCAAAGACTAAAGAGAAAGCATTAATACCTTACTAATTCACTTTAAAATGGGCTAAAATCACATAGTTTTTCATTATTCCACTAGCAAAGTCCTACCTAGGAAAGAAATCTGTGGAAGAGTAATGGGTTGATCTCCCACCTCCTCAAGAGTGGTTTTGGTTTGGGTTCTGGGCAGGTATTACCTGGTTTTCCACTGATGGCATTAGGTTGTTTTCCAGGATTTTTCCTTTATAAGTAGTACTTTATTTGTATACAAACCTGTACATACATACCTATGTTGTATGTTTTTATTGGTTTTCTTTAAAAGCACACAACATAGGTGTGTATGTATAGACTGGTACGCAAATGACTGGAGGAGGGCACGGAGGACTTTTCATTTCTATTCTGTATACTTCTGTATTGTCTGATTCCTTTACAATAAGAAAGTATAAAACTTTACTGAACTCAAGTACTTTTTTTTTTTTTAGAGGTTTTTGCTATAGGGCATGTGCGCTCGCCAGACGGAGGGATAGAAAGTGAGAAATCACCACCCAGGGGGATGTCCACGCCACAATCCCTTCTCCTCCATTCTCCTCTCAGGATCTTGGGCACGCACACACACACGCCCGGTGTGAGTTTAAGCCACCGGATCTGGGACTTGAACCGTGGTCGACTATGTGGGAGTTCAGCGACATAGCCATTACGCTAACTGCTGGTCCCTCAAGTACATTTTTTAAAAAGTCAATACAGATCCCCCAAATAAATCTTAAGGTAAGCAAACAGAACCCTGTAATATTTTATTTTACTGAAACTGGTTCCTTATTAAAGCTTCTGGTTCAATCACATGTATTCAACTGTAATAGTTTAGCTAAGATATTTCTTACAGAAACATTCAACATAGTTCAACTTTTCCTCATCCTTAGTCAAAACTTGAATCTCAAATAGTAATGGAAAGTTATGAGAAATGAAGGAATTACATAACCCGTACCTGTACTATTTGGTGTTGGAGTCTGATGATGCCCCAAGGTTGCTAGTACAGGTCCCACTGGCAGGGAAGATGGTCGCTGCTCTGACTTACACGACTGAGCAGGTTCTAGATTTGAACATGTGAAGCAAGTTAGACAAACAGCCAAGTACACACTCTGCTGACTGTAACTGTTTGCAGTTCAAAATACTAAAGACAAGTCATTTTTGAAACTGTATTCCATTAAGTCCAGTTCCTGTTACCCCTTTCGGACTTCCTAACAGCTCAAGCGTCATGATGAGTATACTACAGAGTACTGACACACCATGCAGGGTTATCCAGAGACCAGCTGTAGTAGGCCAGTAGCCCCCACCCAACTGCTCTGAAACAACCAGCAAATGCTTCTGATAAGACTGTGTTTCTGAGCCTTAAACAAAATAAAATCTGAAATGAAGTATGTATGGTATCACCCTTTTAGTCTCCCGAGAGAGTCAATTAAGTTCATTTTCTCTGGAGATAAAATTCACAAAAGGATTTTACATACTTGTGTGTGAAAAAACTTTCCCTTTAACAGAACATTACTGGCTTCACCAGATCATCACTGAGAACACAGTAATGCTGGATGATGGCTAAAGGAATCAGTGTAGCTGGGAGGGGACTCTGAGCCCTCCTTAGCCAGTTTTAGTTTTTGTTTTTGTTTTTGTTTTTTGAGAAATTTTTTTGTTATGGGGCAAGTGTGCTCACCAGAAATACAGAGAGAGAGAAAAACACCCCTGGGTGGGGAGGGGGAAGGCCACACTGCAAACCCTTCTCTTCCATTTTCCTTTTTTTTTTTCTTTTTTTGGAGAGGTTTTCGCTATAGCGCGTGTGCGCTGGCCAGACAGAGAGACACACAGACAGAAAGCGAGATATCACCCCCCAGGGGGATGGCCACACTGCAATCCATTCTCCTCTCAAGATCTTGGGCACGCACGCACACGCGCCCAGCGTGAGATTAAGCCACCGGGTCTGGGATTCAAACTGCGGTCAACTACGTGGGAGTCCAGCAACATAGCCATTACGCTAACTGCTGGTCCCCCATTTTCCTTTTGAGATTTCCAGCACACATGCCCAGCATTAGTTTTTGTTTTTATTTTTGCTATAGGGAGTGTGTACTTACCAGAGAGAGAGACAGAAAGTGAGAATCCCTCCCCTCACCCCAGGGAGATGGCCATGCTACAATCCCTTCTCCAATCTTCTCTGGGGATCTTGGGTATACAACAGGCACACCCACCCAGCCTGAGTTTTAAGCCTCTGGATCTAGGACTCAAATAGTGGCTGACTACGTAGGAGTCCAGCGATACAACCGTTAAGCCATTTAATGGTCCCCTTTGTCAATTTTTAAAAACTGGTATTTGAGGGATGGACCCTAGCACAGCAGTAAAACTCAATGCTCTGTAAGGCTGACCCACGCAGAAAGGTTCCAGGTTCACATCTGGAAACCTTCCTGAGTATGCCAGGAACATGCTTGTTCACCATCCAGGGCTGGCTGAGGCTGGATCATGGCATCGAGACCCAGTTGAGGGTGCTATCTCTCACTCTTTCTCATTTATAGAAGAAATAAATAACTAAAAATAATAGTATTTATTCCTATACTTAAAATACAGATGTCATTTGACAAGTAGGCATCATGTATTTTATTTTTCTTTTTTTAACCTCAAAATCCACCATAAACAAACCATTTATACTGTTCAGAGCTATGAAGAATACCTAAAAACAGAACATTCCTGGATTACCCTAAATAGGTTAAGGTATATTACATTTTCCTCAGCCATGAATTCTGAGTTGTAGGATTCTGTTATACCATGTAATCCAAGTCTTTTTTCTTTTCTTTCTTTCTTTCTTTTTTTTTAGAGAGGTTTTTGCTATAGGGCGCGTGCACTCACCAGAAAGGCAGAGAGAGACAGAAAGTGAGAAATCACCCCCCGGGGGGATGGCCACGCTACAATCCCTTCTCCTCCATTCTCCTCCCACGATCTTGGGTACACATGCACGCGCTGTGAGTTTAAGTGGGTCCAGGACTCGACCCGCGGTCAACTACATGGGAGTCCAGCAACATAGCCATTACGTCAACTGCCGGTCCCTACCATGTAATCCAAATCTTAGTGACCATGATTGTCTTCTACCTCACTCTGAAAACCAAAGACCCTTTCATTATACTTTAACAGCCCCAATAACCAAATAGTATCCTATTTTTCCAGGTTATTTTCAGCTGTGCTATATTTTTGTGATTCCTTTTATGTAATTAAAAAACCCTCAAACCAGGGCCAGCAGGTAGCATGGTGGGTAAGGCAGCTGGATTTCCACATGGCCAACCATGGTGTGAGTCTTGGGTCAGGTGGCTTGAAAATCTCACTGGGCACGTGTGCATGTGTGCATGCGTGCATGCCTAAGATTCTGAGAAAAAAATGGAGGAAAAGAGAGTGCAGTGAGGCCATCCTCTAGGGTCTGATTTCTCACTTTCCTTCTCTCTGTCCTTCTCTTTCTCTTTTCTGGAGAGCTCATGTGCCCAATGGCAAAGACCTAAAAACAAACCAAGAACCCAAATAAAAAGAAACACACACACACACACACACAAAGAGCTAAGATTACTATGACAACCAGAAAACGCAAGTTTTTTCTCTCCAATGAACCTATGAAATATTTTCCAATACTATACCTGGAGGTAAGACAGTCTGGGAAGGCATTGTGCTGATCACAGGTTCCAAGGGGCTAGGCTGATATATTGCATCTACAGGATTAATAGTACTCTGAGATAAAGAAACACAATAGAGTTACTTTTAATTAAATGCCCTTCTTCGGACCCTCCCAAACGAATGACATGCCTACATTTCTGACAGCAAAATCCTGAAGGTAGATATAGATATGTTGTAAAAGTGCAAAGAGGAAATTAAGCAAGTGTGTGACAGTCTCTTACGAGGAAGCAAGGAGGGAAAATGAATGAATCTCTGTCACACAGGCAGTAAAACTAAACGGAAGAACTTTGAAGGAGTTGGCAAATGGTCATGGGGAGATCTTAGGAAGCCTCTCAATTCAATTCAGTGCTTCTCAAACTCTTAATTCACCACAAAGGTGGCTTTTATGTTAATGAACATCACACCCAAGACTAGCTAACAGAGCTACAGCACGTAGCACTCGGATTTCACCTTTCTACCCCATACTTTGGCTGCCTTCCATCCCTGAGGATTGCACAATATAGGTGTCTTATTTACAATCGCTAAAGGCAAAGAGATGCATTTTCTAATTCAGTAAGGAAAAGAAGGCTTTCTTTTTGAAAATACAGAAGAAAATATACTGAAACATGTAGTTAAAATTTTACTGGGAAAAAGTCCTGGTTTCTCTGATTTTAGACCAAGAATTATTCTGACATTATGAAGGCATTTTAAAAACAAGACTCCAGGGACCAGCAGGTGGCATGGTGGTTAAGGTGCTGGACATTCCCACATGGCCGACCATGGTTCGAGTCCTGGACCCGGCGGCTTGCTTTCTCATTTTCCCTCTGTGTCTCTGTGTGTCTCTCTGGTCAAATTAAAATAGATGAATAAATAAATAAAATTAAAATAATTCTTAAAAAAAACCCCAAAAACAAAAAAAAACAAGACTCCATAGCTTACTATTTTTTTCTTTCAGTGGGGGCAGGGTGGGCTTTAAACTAAAGTCTTTGCCAGAGTAAAGTTTAGATCCACTTTTCAGAAAACTAACCTAGACAAACCCAAGAAATAAAAATGTAAGTTCTTGGGCTGGTTCCATAGCCTAGTGGTAAAGGGGGCCAGAACCCACGTAGTCGACCATAGTTCTAATCCCAGCTCTGTCAGCAGAGCTTGAAAAGCACAATTAATAGCCCTCTGCCCTAATTTCTTGTGATAATAAAGACACTCATGCGGGACCAACGGTTGGCATAATGGCTATGTTGCTGGACTCCCATGTAGTCAACCACGGTTCGATTCCCGGACCCAGTGGCTTAAACTCACGCTAAGCGTGTGTGCGTGCATGCCCAAGATCCTGAAAGGAGAAGGGATTGTGGTATGGCTATCCCCACTGGGGGGGCGGGGGGTGATTTCTTGCTTTGTCTTTCTGTCTCTGTGTCTTTCTAGCGAGTGCATGAGCCGTATAGCAAAAACCTCTCAAAACAAAAAGAAAAACAAAAACCACCACTCATGCAACACAATACATAATTATATATACATATTATTACATATGTTATATATACCTAATATTTATTGAGTACATGTGCTTACTCTGTACCTTACAACATTCTGATGTAGTAAATTTTATTTTTTTTCTCTTTTATTATTATTTTTTAAAATATATTTTTATAATTTGCTACAGGGCATGTGCACTTACCAGAGAGAGAGACAGAGACAAAGAGAGAGACAGAAATAAGAAAGCAACCACTCAGGGGGAATGACCACACCACAATCCCTTCGCTATTCTGCTCCCGGGATTTGGGGCACACATACATCCACACCTAGAGCATTTTTTCAAGAAGCTGAGTTCATGAACTGAACCATGTAACTGGCAATGTAGAATTTAGTTGCCTTTACCACCCTGCCACCAGGCAGGCCCCAAGAACTATTTAGTTTTCTTCTTAGTAAGTTAAAACTCAGCGTGGTTAAGTTACTTGGCCAAAGTTACAGATAGTGAGTAGAGGCTTGTTATTAACCCAAGCAGTCTGGCTCTAAAACCTAAACCATGATCAGTTCCTTCAACATAAAGACTTTTAAAGAGAAAAATGCTCTAGTAACTGAGTGGATGATTAAAATACATTTTTTCCCCACAATTATAATTTTTCTCTGTATATAAACTTTCTAGATGTTTTGGATTACAAATGACCTTTTTTGTATGTTTTGTAAAACCTTGTCTATTTTTAAACATAATATAAAGTAACTATTTTGATTTAGAGGAAAAAGAGATCAAAATAACCGCCAACCATGGTTCTCCTCAGGAGTCTTTAGGGACCATGAAATGCTAAGCGACTATATATAGTCCTTTCCCATAAGGCTCACATTTTCCATCGTACCTCCAGAGGAGATGTATTTCATTATAATCTATTTAGGAGGGGAAGAGGTTTTTGCTATAGGGCGCATGCACTCGCCAGAAAGAGAGAGACAGAGAGACAGAAAGTGAGAAATCACCCTCCAGGGGGGATGGCCATGCCACAATCCCTTCTCCTCCATTCTCCTCTCGGGATCTCGGGCACGCATGCACACAACCTGGCGTGAGTTTAAGCCACTGGGTCTGGGACTCGAACTGCAGTCGACTACATGGGAGTCCAGCGACATAGCCATTATGCCATCTGCTGGTCCCCTATGTATTTATATCATATAGTTGTACTATATCATCAGACCTCACATTTTGGACAGAGAAAAATTTCAAAAATGTTTCTTTAAATCTACTTTAAAAATACACACATGACATAAACACTTAAGTTTTTTTCTTTCATTTTAAATCTAGTATAAAGAAAACACATTCATCCAGTATAATCATGATGTGGCTTCAAAGATTTACAAAATGAGTTTCCAGATCTAAGACAAGCTGGCATTTGTAAAGTCTCGGGGCAAAAAAAGGGGCTACCTCCTGCATCCAAAATAAGGTCTGACCAGAAGTCATTTAGTTACCATAAAACTAGCGTAGTCAAATACAAACATTTGGACTCTAACTTTTATTTCCAGCGTGGAAATATTAACAGTAAGATTTTCTTCTTTCTTTTTAGGGGTAAAGTTGAAACAAGAGCAGGGTAAAAGTCAAGGGGGAGGAAAGAATGGGGAAATGACTGTTAGTCAAAGAACTCATGTTATAACTTGTTCCAACAAAATGCAGTATATACCACAGTAACGATGACAGTTAATGCAATATACACAATCTAAAATGAAATATAAGAAAATAACAGGAACCTTATAAACATTGAAATAGATTATGACATGTTCAGTATTATACCCTTCCCCCTGCAAGTTTAGCAAGAATGGTAGCACTGTGAGTTAGACCATATGTAACTGTAATAGCAGAGTTTACATATCATGATTAACCCTTCAAGTGAATGCATGCAAAGTGATTCAATCTGAACCAACACTGAGAAAAATTTTAAGATTGTCATTTCCCCTCCACATGATTGCTAAAAGATGGCCAACTTTAGCAGCTGAAGGAAAATTGCAAGAGTCAGTAAGAAAAAGCAGTGAGTAGGTAAAAAGAGAAATTTGTGTTGAAAAATGAATAGAAATTCAGGCTTCTCCTGACATGACTGGTTAAATGCTCTGCAGAAGTAAAAGGAAACAAAAAGATTAGTAAACTTACTATAATTCCATCTGCGTGCTTCTCTGCATTAGTCTGGTCCTTAAGGAAAAATGTTACAAATGTTAACTTCACTCTTACATTTAAGTAAGAACCCCTTGTGTTACTTTTCCTACTAAGAAAGTTCATCTCGGTAGGTAAGTAATACGTAAGAACATACTTGGCTGCTTTCACTAAGATTTAAATTTCATCTGTATATTCATCCCCAAACATAATTCTGTCACTGGCTACACAACAATGAACTCTAATAGCATGGCAATTATTTTTCAATACAGGCATTTGATTAAGTTTGTTGTGGAAATAGTCTATCGAACTATAGTCACATTAGAACCAACAATTAAAGGCAGTCATAGTAATTTAGGATTAAAGGTTCTCAGTATTTCTAAGTTTTAATTGTATAAATGCCTATGCCAACTCCCCCAAAGTCCCAAACTCTTACTGATGTTAAAGGTATAGTAATCACAGGCCCTTTAAAACTCAGGTCAGACACAATGTTCCATATTTTGCCCATTGGTTCCAGAATTACATACTTTTCTAAACAGATGATCTGGTTTTTGTTTCAGTGAACAACTGCCTTATTCATAGAATAATGGTATAAAGGCTAACACTACCTGAAGGTATTTTACATATATTAATTCATTTCTTCTGCCAACCCCATAACATAGGTACTATTATTATCCCCACTGAACAGATGAAACAGAGGGAGCAGGACTCCAATACAGCAGGCTCACTGCAGAATTCATGGAACTCATTCTTCACTAATATGCTAGGGGTGGAAAGGAGCCAGCATGCACTCATTCCTCAGCTGCATGACAAGGGAACATTAGAACTTGTATCTCCTAGGATTTGTTCATCCTCTCTTTTCACTCTTTCTCTGACAGATCCTGTTACCAAATGGGGGCCTAAGTGAGGAAAAAGTAGTTTTTTGAGACCATCTCATTATCAGTGACAGGAGGGTATTTCCTGGATGGATATCATTATGTAGGAAGTAATCATCAGAGATCAGTACGGGGGAGTACATACTGAGAGATATTTGAAGTAAAAAAAAAAATGTTTGAGGTTAGGATTGTATGCTATGATTAGTATATTCTTAGTGCAGACTAAAAACCTACCCTTTTTTGTATTTCCTCACGTTCATTCAAGTAAAATTTTAACTACTACCTCAGAGTTGCTATGAGTGCTAAATGAAAGATGTGGGGAAGTATTTTCTAAATGAGAAAAATTCTATGTAAACCTAATTTTTTTGGCTAGCCCATAGCATAGCAGTTAAACACTTCAGATTGGAGCCAGATTCCTTCATGGCTGACCACAGTTACAATCCTGGCCGCAGAGGCTTAAAGAACCCACGAGGCCTGTGTGCTCAAAATCTTGATGGAATGGAGAAATGAATTAAAAATTATTGCTGTGTGATCATGCCCCTTGGGCAGGGGGGTGCTTTCTCTTTTTCTCTGGTGGTGACATGTGCCCTCTGGCAATTAAAAAACAAAAAAATCCTAGTTTTTAATGATCAAGGACAAACTAATACATTTATTGCTTCATTCATGAGTGTAATGACATAGATGTTGTTCTGAAATAAAAATATTATAAAGAACCAAAAATGTGATACAGTAAATATCTGTACTCTGCTCTCGTTCTACTAGACTTTGGAGAAACTCCACAAACTGAAGTAGAGAGAAACCAGGTGGACAGTACCACAGTGGGTATCACCGATTTCCTCTATGCTTTTTTTTTTAAAAAGGAAATCTCCAAAGATGCAAATGTAACTATGGGAGGAAAATCCATCTTTTAGTATTATACAGGCAGTATATGCAAATAAAATATTTTAAGTTTTAATTCTGTATTATCTGGAAGTTTTCAAGTTTTAATAGAAACCAAGCTTTTAGCTTGGTTTTTAACACAATGACCAAGTCATTCAATGTGAAGACATAGGATCATTTAAAAATATTTATTGTATTTCATTTTATTTATTCATTCATTATTTTAATTTGACCAGAGAGAGACACAGAGTGAGAGTGAAAGTGAGAAAGGAAGTCACCAGGTTTTGGACTCAAACCATGCTTGGCTAAGTAGAAGTGTCCAGAACCTTAACCACTACGCCACCTGCTGGCCCCAGGATCATTTTTTAAAAGTGCATGTGCAGAAAAGACGGCTATCCTTGCAAAGCTGGCTTCTGACTATTGTCTGGGAACCTGGGTTTCAGGAGGGTTCCCACCACCCTACTAACTGAAAACAGTGGCTCCCTGTGCCTGAACTGTTTATACAAGCAATATAGGTTATGCCAAACATCTGTTTTCCTACTAGAAGTCTGGAATCTTAGTAAGTGTTAGGTAGAGTGCCTACATGACAAGCCTCTAGTAAAAACTCTAGGTCTGGAGTCCAATGAGCTTCCTTGGCAGACAATATTTCACATGTGTGTCCTGATTTATTATTGGAGGAATTAAATGCATCCTGTGTGACTCTACTGGGAAAAGACTCTTGGAAGCATGTGCCTGCTTTCCTATGGATTTTTCCTTATGTACTTTTCCCTTCGCTGATTGTGCTATAATAAACCATGGCTGGGAGTACAACTATACACTGTATTGAGTTCTCTTCCTAGAGTATCTCCAGACCTAGAGGTGATCTGACAGTCCATATGCTTTACATATCCCTAAGAATAACTGCATTTTTATACCTACAAAATTAATGTTGAGATTTTCCATGTGCACAATTGACATGACTACATATTTAGAATATCCAAAGTTTCAGCAATTCTGATTAGAGTTGGAAATAAATTACTGAGATTTATGCAGAAAAAAAATGAAAAAGAAAGCTTCTTACTCCAGAGGATGAAAATTTGATAATTTGATATGCTTTTCACTTTACCCTTTTAATCTCTAAATATTTTATTAAATTTTCCAAAGACCATCTTAGAAATATTATAAACATGTAGTAGATTACATTTTCCAATAATGGGAGGCTGGAGAGTGGCACAGAAGAAAAGTGCTATGCTCCGTGATGCAATCCCATATGGCAGGATTCCAGGTTCGAGACTGGTGACCTCCCTGAGAATACTGGTCACACATTTGTCTGTGATTGAGGGCTGGCTGAAAACTGGGAGTAGATTATGTGTTGGGACCCATTGGGGGTGCTGCATCTCTGTCCCTGTCTCTGTTTTTGCTCATGAAAATAATAAACTTAAAAAAGAAAAAAAAGGGGGATGTTCATGTCCCCTACTCTTGAACCTTGGTGGGCCTTTCTGACTATCAATGAGTATAGCAGAAGTGATTATATGAATAGACTTCTGAAACTAGGTTATGGAAAAACCACAAATTTCTACCTTGTTTTATTGGAGCCCTACCAGAAGACTGTGAGAAAGCGCAAGCAGCCATAAAGAGGACTATATGGAGAGAACCTAGGCCCCAAGCCCAACTTCCCAGCCATGTAAGTGAGCCATCTTGAAGAGAGATCCTCCACCCTCAACACATCACTGCGGGTAATGTTGAATGAAGCAGAAACAGGTCATGAGGTCTGTTTAAATTATGGATTTGTGAGGAAAATAATGACTGCAGCTATTTTAAGACACTTAATTTTGGGTTGGTTTGTTAGACAGAAGTACTGTCTAACACTAACACTAAGAAAACTAGTTTCTAATTCTAGTATAAACTATGGACCATCTGGCAACTTTTTTCTCCAAATAGTCTCCATTTACAGTGTACGCTATCTACAGGGTATTCTAAGTCGGGGTCTACTATTTGTGTACCCCTATGGTGCTGTTTTAAGGCAGGGTCAAATCTAGATGAACCCATGGCTATTATCAGTCATTCCCATCATGAACATAAGTTTTTTTTGTTTTTTTTTTTTGTTTGTTTGTTTGTTTTTTGGCTAGAAGAGTATATATGTTTGCAGGAAAGAAAAGTGAGAAAGCATCCCCACACAGGGGATGGTCACACCACAATCCCTTCTCCTCTATTTCTCCTCTTGGGATTTTGGGCATGTACACACATTTACTTGGTGTGTTTTTTAAGCTGTTGGGTCCAGGACTCAAACTGCCCAGTAAACCACACAGGATCCAACCACCTTAACCACCACGTCATCAGCTGGCCTAACGTAAGGGATTTAACCTATTATTTATAAGGCTTATTTTTTTTCTCCTTCTATCTTTCTTCCTTTGGCTTATTTGTTTTTATTTGTTAGGTGACCGTGATAACCACTACACTATGGAAACTGTATTATTTATAAAGAAAACCACAAGTTGCCTTTTATTGGAGTTAGCTAAAGCAAAATCTAAAGTAATACTGAACATATATTATTGAATCCAATATAAATTATGTTAATTAAACAAAAGATCTAATTCTACTTTCCACATAAATTACAAATTTATTTGATTATTATAATTCCCTCATTCCTAAATGCAATGGCTATTCTCGTCTCAGAACATACCATCATGACTGAGATCTGGAAATATGATAGTGAACAAAACCAGAATTATAAACTCTCGTATTTTTAAACCACACCTACCATAAAATACATGAAATACACCTCTCTACTCTAAGGAAGCAACGTAGTCTAGTGAACGTTCTTTTAACTATATATTTACATGTTTTTTAATTACATGATAAATTTTTTTCTAGTTCAAGTTTTATGAGATTTAACAAATGCAGCTAGAAATGACTGAATATCCAGAAGTTAAAACACACACACATACACACACACACACACACACACACACACACAGGAGGAGGAGAATTTGGATCCCTACCTTACACTATAACACAAAAATTTGCTCAAAGTGGATCACAGTGCTAAATGTAAATGCTAAAACTATAAAACACAGGAGTAAACCTTTGTGACCTTAGATTAAGCAATGCTTTCTTAAATATGTTAACAAAGACACAAGCAATAAGAGAAGATTATCCAAGAACCTGATTGGTTGCTGGGCTGGTAGAAGGCAATAATGGCATGAGGAGACCCTGTCAGGGGTCCTAGGTGTTTATTCAGTTGATGAACATTCTAGTCATTTCAACTTTTGGCATATTAAGAGTAGTGCAGCTTTCAATATTTGT